CAGCATGAGGTGTGAGGGGCTTGGGGATTCAATAAACTGTGTTTGGCATAGGCAGGCCCTTCCCAAACTCACACTGGCAACGAGGATTCTCAACCATACAGACTGCAAAAATTGTCCATCTCTCAGGCATCCTCTGAAAACTATTATCACAGGTCCCCAATTAAACCTGTCCGTGGACAGCTGGAGGATCAGGGACAGTCAGAAAGGACACAGGTGGGCACGGTCAAAGGGCCATACAGGAGAAACAGTCAGGGAGCCAGCAGGAGATTGCTGGACTGGCTGGCTTGCTGAGACAATCGGAGAAGGGACAGCTAGGGACAGATAGAGACGGCCCGAGACACTGATTCCAAGTTCCAGAAGCATTGCCAACTCCACGGCACACTATTCGATGTGGAAAGCACTCACACTCACACACACACGCGCGCGCGCACACACACCCATATATAATATATTTATTTATACATAATAGATATAAGTGCCTTTCAGGAATCAGGGAAGGGATAAATAGGTAAGGGAGGGTCTGGTTTAGGGCCGGAGATGTGGGACAGGGTGTGGAATGTTGTCCATGCGACACAGAGAGTGACAGGGCCACCCTCATATTAAAAAATAGAAATTTGCCCCATGGTGAAATTCTCACTCACAGGTGAAGCTCAAGGAGAGGCGAGGTGGGAGAGCCAGATCCAAAATTCGGAGTGAAGGCATGGAGAGATGGGACTGGGGAGCCCATCCTCTCCATGTTTGCCAGTCCAAAAATATTGGGAGTCCATGAAACCAAAGCCTCAGCCCTTCAAACTTCTCTGGAAAATGTCCAGCCCCTCACTCCCTTTCTAGAAGGGACTGACGCAGGGCGCCGAGGGCAGGGAGAAGTTGGCGTCCTAGGCTGGGGAAGGTGGAGGCCTTCAAAAAAAAAAAGGACAGGGGTCCCAGAGAGGGAGAGGCCGCGGGTGTGTTTCTGTCAACCCTCCTCTGGATTCTGCCCCTCCTTTGAGTCTAACTCATCGGTGAGGAGAGGAGGAGGCAGGTAGGGGCTGAGGCCCAGGGAAGGCTTTGGGGAGTCGGGGTCTTGTCCCACCAAGCCCACCCTACAACCAGGCTGCTCATTCACAGTATAAAGCACTCCAGCAGGAAGGCGTCGCAGCGCCCCCTGCTGCTTGAAACCAGAAAGGTCCAACAAGGACGGCCAGGGAGTAGCTTGAAGGAGGAGGGTTTGGAATAATACTGAGATCCATCAGAAAGGGGGTGAGGAGGGGACTGAACGGGGTCCTTAGGGACTGAGAAAGTCCAATCCTAGCCAGGTTTTTTTTTCCTAGGAGGGGACGGCTGGACAATCCGGGAAGGGAGTTCACATTTCAGAATAAATCTGGGGGTAGCTGATGGGAGCATCAGCTTCCGGGGCTGGATGTGCGGCTGGGGCCGGAGGCCTCCACTGTGCCAGAGGAGGGTCTAACCTCATGGGAAGGTGGGATAAATAAGCTAGGGTAGGGGACGGGGGAGCCAGGCCGGCAGCCCCCTGGAGGGGGTGGCGTTCCTTGTTGGGCCTCTCTGGGACGGCTCGAGCCAACCCACAGCGCCTGCCCGCCCCGCACCCTTCTCTCCCACCCCGCCCGGCACAGGACGCCAAAGGTGGGCGTCACCCCCACCAGCCCCTCTGTCAAGACCAACAGGCATCTGGGGGCGTCCATCCCCTCCCCACCCCTGTCCCCAAAGTCACCAGCTCTCGGGCCTCGCCCGGGCCCACAAACAAGCGGCGGCGGCGGCGGCGGCACAAAACACAAGAGGTCTTCTCGTCCCACGGCAGTGGAGAGGGAGGGTCAGACAGAAGAGTCAGGGAGCCACGCACCCAGTTTGTCTCTTCCCCTCTCTCCTCCTCGTCCAAATCGCTCTCCCTTGAGTGTCTGTTTGTTGTTTGTGTAAAGGGTTCACAGAGCAAGGAGGGAGGGCGAGGTCAGGGGGTCGGAAGGCTGGTCACTGCCGCTGGTGCGTTGGGCGCCGGCGAATGCGGAGACCTCCGGGCAGGTGAGGACAAACGAGGACGTGTACGAAGGGTTAACAACGGGGAAGGGGTCGCCGAGGACTTGGACTTCACTGTGTGTAAAGAGAGAAGCCGTCAGGTGGGGGGGCGCGTCTTGGCTGGTCTGGAAGGGCAGGGGCGGTGGTGGCGGGGGCGGCAGCAGCCAGCTGAAACCGTCTTCCTTAGCGGATGCGGACCCCGGCAAATCTCTCACCTCCGCCAGCGGGCCTGGCCCCGGCCCGGGCCCCTCTTCATAGGGGATCTTGCAGCCCGGTTTGTGGGCCACCAGCACAAACTCCAGGCGCTCCTTCTCCTTTTGGAGCTCGGCGATCTCCGACTCCAGCTCTGCCTTTTCTTCCTCCAGCTGATCAGTCTCCTGAGGTCCCAGGGGCCAGGTCACAGGAACAGACGAGGAAGGAGGAAAGGGAGTCAGTGACCAGAGAATGTAGCTCGGGACCCCTCCCGAGGGTTGCTACAGCATGGGGCCCGCCAAGCAACTCCCAAAGGGGATGGATCCTGGCACACTACAGGACTTGAGGTTGTTCCTTCCAGGAGCCTCCATTTCCCATCTGCGCGATGGGGAGGAGCTGGGTGGACATGAATACCTCACTGGTATGCAGGATGCACACAAGTTTGTTGAGTGAATAAACAAATGCTATATGTTTTTCACACTTTTGATAACGTCACCCTCCTCTGCTACCTCCCAGTAGGAAAGTAGAAAATTACTCTGGTTTTCTTGAAGGGCAACAAAGGGGCACCTTGTGCAGACATAAAGTAGAGAGCTTAGGCTGAGGTAGGGTGCAGAAGCGAGTGGGTTTTGGTAAATGCCACCATCCCAAGTTCTGGAGAACTGTGGGTGGCTGGGGCAGGAGGTGGGGAATTAATTTAGGCTATAATAATTTAGTTTCAAGGATTCTTCCAAATGTTCCATGTAGATGGAGCCTGCGATAATTGATAAGGAGGTCGAAGAGACACAGAAGTGGGGGCCAAAACGGGTTATGGCTTGGCCAAAACCAAATGGGACAGATGACTAAAGCTGCCGGCCACTTGTCCCCACCAAATGGAAAAGAGGCCAGGAGAAATGTCCGGGAGGTCATAAATCAGAGAAGAGGGCGAGTGGCCAGGAACTGACAAGGGATGTAGGGGTCTCTGTGTGTGCCCAGGGCCACCCTCTCTGGCCACACCGTCCCCAGTTCTGAATGAGGCACCTGCGGTTGTGACCACAGGATAAAGGGACAGTGGAGGTGAGGAGTGCCCAGCCCTCTGTGCCCTCACCCCAGGGACAGCCCTTACCGCCTGCAGTCTGTCAGTGAGCTCCCTCCGACGGTTCCTGCATTTAGCTGCTGCCAGCTTGTTCCGCTCGCGGCGAACCCTTCGCTTTTCCTCTTCCTCCGGGGTGAGCTGAGTGGAGGAGACAGAGTCCATGAGATCTGGGGCTACAGTACACCTCCTCCACCCCTGCTAAAGCTCCTGGTCTTCCAGGACCCTGAAGCCAACACAGGCCCTGTGTCCTTGCCAGCTACGGCGAGAGTGATAGGGTTTCTGCAGCCTTGAGGCCCAAGCAGACCCCCGCCCCAAGAGTGACAAAGTTCCCGCTGTCTGGTCTCCTCCCTCCACCAGGCCAACTTCTGACCCAGGCCCCACTCACCGTTTCCTCTCGGGGTCTCCTAGGCCGGGCTCGTGCTGGGCGGGCAGGCCCAGGTCCGCTGGTAGTTCCACTGGTGGAAGGCCCACCGCTGCCACTAGCACCGCCGCTACTGTAGCCACTCAGGCCTGGTGTGGAGTAGCTTGTTCCTGGCATGTCATAGGGGTCGACTGCCGGGGGTTGGGAGGCCAAGGGCTGCCCCTGGGACTGAGCCATGGAAGAGATGAGGGTGGGTTGCACGAGCCACTGGAGGTCCTGGCTGGTTGTGATCGCGGTGACCGTGGGCACGAAGGAACCGGGCATTTCCCCGAGACCGGCGCACTCCTACGGGGTGACACATACAGACACAGGCGTAGACACACAAACAAAGACACCGACACACACACACCCAACACACATAGCACACACCGACCCTGTGAGTGAGCACAGGGTGAGCGGGTGTGTGGATGTGTGTGTCACAGGCAAAAAGCCACAACACCCACCCTTCCACTACACCGTGACGCAGTGGTTAATGAGAGGATTTCTGCTCAACTGGCTTCTACCTCCTCCTTCTTCCTCGGGGAAAGGTTGCACGGTTCCAGCGGGTGGTGAATCACACCCCGGGTTGGTGACTCTTAGGTGTAGGGGGTGGGGAGGAGGCTGGACACAGCCTGGTGACAGAACCCCGGGGACGGAGCCACAGCCAGACACACAGTCACAACACCCCACCCCCACCCCAGAGGCAAGGGGAGGGAGAGGGAGAGGCCTTAGACCAAGCCTTCCTCTCCACTCACACACATACACACACCACTCTGGGCGAAGTCCCGTGCAGGAGCGAGGGTCCCAGTTAAAAGGGTGCTGGAGGACCTGCCTAGGAGTTGAGAGCTTCGTTTCAAGTAACTGTCTCTCTCCAGTGAGGCTGACAAGTGACAGGTTCAGGTTTATAAACAGGTAGAGAAAAGTGACAACTTGGCTCTCTCAGACTGTCGCGAGAGGGGATGGTGTAGGATCTGACCCTCTAAGACCCAGCAGTGTTCATCGCCCCCCACCCGCAAGTGGAATCCAGGAATTGTTCCGGAGGCTTAACTACTCTGCTGGGGGGCGTGGTGAGGGAAGGGCTGGCTCGCTGGCCAATCAGCATCCTGAGAACCGAGAAGGGGCGGAGCTCCTGAAGACCACCTGGCTAGTTCCCCCTCAGCTCTCTGTTCTAGTCCTGTCTTCCGACCTGCCGGAGGGACCCGGGGTGCAGAGGAGAGGGAGTGTGAGTGTGTCTGTGTGTGCCAGGAAGATAGGGGGACGGCCACCAGATCGCCAGAATAAGTGCCGGCACACAAAGAGTAAGAGCCGATAGACTCGGTCCCCACTACAGGGGCCTCGCAGACCCACTGGATCCCAGAGGGTCGCTGTCGTCGCGATAGGCGTCCTGTCGCTGTGCCTCTAGAGGCCCTTACGAGACCCAAACGCCTGAGAACCACGGGTTCCGGGAACCGGGAGGGGGGAAGGGAACTCTGCCCTCCAAATAGGAAGGGAAAGTTGATTGGCCAAAGCCCCGCGCTGTGGCGACCAATCGGAACGCCGGACTGCCTCCCTTAGCAACGTGGCCCCGGCGTTCCAAAATAGAACGCTCCCGGGACGTCAGGGGCGGGGCGGACGAAGGGGGCGTCGCGCGCCGTGCGTGCCCCGCGTCAGACGGAGGATTCCAGCGCGTCAGCCGTTACGCACGGGTCCCCCGTTACGTCTCCGCGCTGGAGGCGGAGGCAGCGCAGCAGAGGGTTCGAGGCCCGCTTTCCCGCAGGGTGGAGGGCGACCCGGCGCCAGAGTGGGCGCGGGGCAGGAGAAAAGAGGTAGAAGATACTGATAGCTTCCCCGGGATTTTCTCCTTCTGCCCAACTACCCTAGCTTCAGGTTGGGGACCTGAACTGGGGCAGTCCCAGAGCCAGCTAAAAGTTGTCAGCCTTGCTACCGCATACACGTTGCACTGAGCGAGCGTTCTCCTGCCCACCCCCACCACGCCGGGTTCCAGAGCCTCTCCAGCTGCGTTCCCTCCCCGCGCTCCTTGCATACAATCAATTGCAAATATCTCCCGATACTTTGCAAAGTGCACTGTCAGCTTATTTTCTCCCAGATCCTGGGTTTTGGCGTGGCTTTATTCGAGGAGTGGCAGATGCCCACTACAGGCATTCTAGACTTTAAATTAATAAATAAAACTTCCAAAGCATCACCTCTACCGTCTAGCGCTTACCTGGGAGGAGGCGGCGGTGGGTGGGCTGCCGAAGGAGTCCACCGAAGACAGATATTGAGACTCGGCAGAGGGTGAAGAGCTGCACCGAGAGCCGGAGTCGTAGTCTCCGGGGAAAGCCTGAAACATTTCCCTGGGCACAGGGGGGGCCCTGTGACCACGCTGAGGTCGCCGGGAAGCCAAGGCTATGGCCGGGTGGGGTAAGTAAGGTGCGAGTCTGGGGTGAGCCGAGCGCGTCCCCAAAGTGCGCTCTCCGGGGAAGCTCGGAGAGAGGGCAGCGTCCCGCTCCAACAATAGCAAAGTTTCTGTGCAGTTCCTCCGCAGTGCTGAGGCTCCTAAAGGATGCCGCTGTACTTCCTAATCGTCCAGACTCTGTCGGACACAGGGGCGAGCGGGGAATCTCTCCCGCAGAGGCAGAAAGCGCTGTCCCGCTGTACAGAGTTCGCTTCGGGTGCGGTCTCTTCCAAGGGTTCCGCGGGTCCCCCGGCGGGGAGTAATAAAAGAAGACGAAAAAGTTAAGCCGGTCCTCCAGGAAACAATGAAGAAATCTCTAGAATTCTTACAAAAACTTTCTCTCCGGAGTTAAAAAAAAAAACAAACAACGAAACAAAACAAACTTCACAATCCCCAAAAAGAACCACAATAGTCAAGTCCCCAAGTCCGGGCTCCGCGTACCCCAGTCGTGGCGATAGCTCTCAGCCTTATGAATGAAGCGCAGAGCTGCCAGCCTGTATTTATATGCCCTGGGCCCGCCCCCCTGCTTACGTCACCCCCCCTCGCTCAACAAACTTCTCAAAAATCTCTGTTCTCGCTAGACCGATCCCCACGCCCTCCATCAAGAGGTCTTCGGTACCCTTGTTCTGGTCACCTGTAGGATCCTCACGGCCTTGGGGGTCTTGGGGGTTATGTTCCGGCCCACTCGGCAGGAGGGGATCCCGGCCCCGCCTTCCCGGAGTTCCTGTGACGCAATTAGCCATATAAGGAGCTCGACCGGCGCGCCGGAGTGTTTGTTTGGTATCCTAGCAATGACGTCAGAGGGAATCCCTCGCTCGCTCTCTCGCGGCGTCTGCGGAACCCGCCCGCGCCTGCGCAGTGCCACGCCGCCCCGGGGGCCGGTATTAATAGGTGCTTAAAGTATCCCGGGGAGCCCCAGTGACCCGGACAGAGAAGGCCACCTCCTTATCTCTGGCGCCCCCGTCCGCCCCAGTCTCCCGCTGGTGCAGCGCCCCCTTTTGAGAAGAAGAGCTGATCTTCAGAGAGAGACTTTGATTATTGTGGTGTTGTCACGTAGGCGGGTAAACTGATCCCTGAGCTGGGATAAAGAAGCTGTGTCGCCTCAGGTTAAGGTAGAGATGGGTTTGGGGTCCCAGGGCTCCTCCCAGCTTCTGCCCCGATTCGCTCAATTTGGAAAATGTTTTCCCTTTCTGACCTTCAGTTTGAGGTGTCTCAGCTGAGTGAATGATGTGTGATTGGGGCCTGGCTGGCTTCCTGGGTTCGGCATTGGAGACACACAAAGGTTTGGAGGGGCTCTGAGCTGATGGGGTTGGTAGCCTCGTCTTCCTGCTTCATAACCTTACCTGGAGACAGAAAGAGTGTGTGTGTCATTAATAAAACAATTGATGACATGTATTTAGTACTTAATGCTAGGTTCTGTGCTAAGCCTTCCAATATAAGACTTGTAATCCTCAAAACAGCTTCGGGATACGCAGTCTGAGTATTGAACCTTGGGCCTCATGCATACTAACAAATACTCTAGCTCTGAGCCCAGCCCTCTCTAGCCCAGCCCTTTTAAATTTTTATTTCAAAACAGAGTCTTGCTAAGTTTCCCAGACAGGCCTCGAACTTAGGATCCTCTTTCCCCAGCCTCTCAAGTATCTGGAAAGACAGATATCCAAAACCGTGCCTGGCTTGAACATTTTTCAGTTTATAGGAGGATAGTGATACTCAGAGAGGTTAAATGACTTGCCCAAGATCCTGTCCTAAGAAATTTACCTCCCCCACAAAAAAGAAATTTAAACCCAGAACAGTCAAACTCTGGAGCTCCTACTTTTTTTGGTTTTATTTGTGAAATGAACTTCAATATGTTGCCCATCAAGAGGATTGCTGTCAGTTCAAGGCCAGCCTGGGTTACATAGCAAAACCCTGTCTCAAAAAATAAAAAAGTTGCCTAGCCTTAGGCTCAAGCAATCCTCCTGCCTCAGCCCCCAGAATAGCTGGGGGTCCTGGCCTGTGTACAGGGGCCAGCTTTAGAGCTCCAACACTTTCAGTTTCCTTCCTAATTTCTTAATCTGCATGGCTGGGTGAAACATCCTGAAAAGCCTGCGTCTGAAGAGTGTGTAAATGATAGTGGTATCTTGGCAGTTGCCATCCTTGAAGTATTTATGAGCTTTACAAACCCACCCTGGATGCTTCTAGTGTGTACTATTGTAACCGAGGCTCCAAGGGCAAAGGCTGCTTATCCAAAGCAGCTCAGTTAACACATAGGGTTCAAAAGTCTAATGCAACCCGGCACATGCCTGTAATTGCAGCACTCATGAGGCTGAGGCAGGAGGGTCACCTAGAGTTTCAGGCCAGCCTGGGCTACATAGTGAGTCCAAGTCCAGTGTGAACTACACAGTGAGACTCTGTCTTTTTTTTTTTTTTTT